CTGTCTGGCATCGTGGTGGCGTCGATGGCAGTGAGGCCTGGCACGGTTCATGCAACAGTTCAGCTCTGAAGATGGATTGATGGTACATGGCTGTGGCGGCCTCATACCCGGCAGGGGGCCTGGTTGACGAGCACGCCGGACTGGTGGGTGCCCATACCCGGAAGGAGTCCTGGTTGGGACCTCAGGTCTAAGATGTTAGGTTTGGCTGCGAGGTCTGTTTGGTATTAGGCCCAGACCATCAGCGCCCCTTCATCAGTTAGATAGGAGTAGCGACAGAGGTTGCGAAGATGGTGGCTTTGGTCTTACTGTTGTACGACTTTGTAAGGTCTTGTGTTAATAATCAATAAAGTGGCCGTATGCATCGTCCAGATGTAGAGGCCGGGGTATTCCCCCTTTTCAAAAAAAAATAACTCCTAGTGGCGACGCATCAAAAACTGAGACCCCCTATATGACAGGCTAAAGAGCGCGCAGGCAGGGGAGTGGTGGCGTACCTAGGTCGCTGTCGTGGCTTTTAAGTGAGATTACCCCGTTGGGCCCTGGCATCTTGAGTTTCATATACCCGTAATGTGGTATGCCTGAAATCTTGAGAATGCCTCACATCCTAGAAGGTCGTGGTATCCGCTACGGAAGGGCACAATGTGAAACAGCAAGGGTTCAGATCTGTAGTTATCGAGTGTGCCGAACACAACGTCTAGGGTTACGCGTCCCGATCAGTGTGCCTCCCTATCGGATATTGTACCTCGGAATGTGGTATGACTGCGTCCGATGCGAGACGTGTTGAACTGCATCTTGTGGAGAGTATCCTCATAAATGAGGATAAGGCCACGGCCTCTGTCCATCAGCACTTTCGTCAACCGGAAACCGTCGACAATGGGGTCGAGGACCAGTGCAGCCGGTGTGTGGTTGTTACGGGGGATTGGGTCGTCCTTGTCGTCGAAGGTGATAAGCGTGGCTGCCCATGGCTGTGCGGCCGTCACTTGATATATCTGGCTGAGCTCTCGAAGAGCCTTTGTCCTTTTATTGTTTGAGGCAAACGTCTTGTATACCGTAAGGACACTATGGTCCTGTAGTGACGCCGCATACTGCTTATCTAGGGGGTGTAAGGCCCAAGATTGGCTCGCCATATTTGGCCACTTGTCTTACCACCCAACAGGCTCGAAGTCTATGGGTTGGGTTCGCGTCTAGCAAGACCGAGTGTATTGGGCATGGTTTATCCAGCAACTCGTCTAGCACTGATCTAGGCCTAGTTTTCCTTTCATTAGGATCACGCTCCGGTGACCGATTTGTGTAAGCCCGTTTAAAGCGAGACTTTTCGTGATGCGCAGCGGGCGGTGGCCCCATGTACATATGTTGCGCCCTCCATGTGTTCTCCATGGCGCAATACTTGCGCACCATGTCCGGTAGTTTGGTGAAGCTTTGAATTCGGCGACGAGCAAGGGCGTTCACGAGGCCCTCGTCCTTGCAGTTGAACTGGAAGGTTTTAATTATCTCTTTGTCACGGCAAGGCACCATCCTGTTCTTCACAAGGAGAAACCTAGCCCAATAACGATGGACTATCTCGTTTGGTAGCTGTTTGACATACATGAGATCCCATATGGCCGGGTTCCCCGAATCCGGGGAGTACTCAGTATGGTGGGTGGGTGGGTAAAATTCGAGGATTGCCTCCTGTATCGAACCCGGACTGTCCTTAATGGGCGGTTGAGTCATGTCTGGCTTTGATCGTGCAGGGCTTGGATCCGGACTGGTATGCCGCTGGATCGACTCAAGGCCGGATCTTGCATTGGAGATCAAGTCCGGACGTACATCTTGGCTGGTGTCTGACTCCGAACTGGAGACTCAAGTGTACACCGTTTTTAGATTGTAAGGTCGTGGCCCCTCCTGTGCCTCTTCGACGATGGCGACGAGGTGCGTGACTGGAGGGGTGTTGATTTCTCAGTTGTCGGGTTTAAGCCCGATCCGATAATAGGGCATGGGCCTGATAATGAAAATTCCCATTACGCGGAATAGAGTTACAAAGTGGTCTATCGGCTGGGCACATGGGGGTGCCGGACACTCCAGCGACTCAATGGGAGATCTTGTGGGCAGTCTATCAAAGTCGGGCTTCAAGGCCAGACTCTGAGTGATACCTGATTCTTGTGAGTCAGATGGTCCCGGGGTCGATGCCCCTGAACCCGTGAGTCCCTCTATGGGGGTGAAGCCTTCAATCTGGTCGAGGCGATCAGTGGGATCGGCGTGTACTACTATGCCACCGAAGACGAGGAGATTACCAGCGCGGGGAAGCCCTCGGTGTGGGTGTGGTCTCTAACGACCGGTTGAGCCATCGATTCTTCTTGTGACCCAATCAGCGGAACTCTCAATGAAAGCACTAATGTCGGTGTCAGAACCGGCAGACCTCGGGGTAGGGGGTCCTGAGTTGTGGATCTAAGATCGATGGGGAACAAGGAACGACGAACACAGTGTTTACCCAGGTTCGGGCCCTCTCGAAGAGGTAATACCTTATGTCCTGCTTGATTATATTAGATGTATAGTATGGTTTACAGAGTAGATCTACCTCGAGATCAACATGAGCTAAACCCTAAGGCGATGAGGTGATGATGTAGCCCTATCTCTAACTACGACCCTCGGCTTATATAGACACCGATAGGGTTAGGGTTACCGGAGATAGACTACAATAAGGGGGAAAGGTATCTTGTCTATTCTTGACTTGGAGGACACATCACGGCTTCATAGAAATTCTGTTGCTATGCGGCTTCATCAGTCCGGCCCATCAATATGGGCCGGCGCCTTGAGGACCCCTTAATCCGTAACTCCCTCACTCACCATGGGCGAGGACAAGACCTCGGCGCTGGAGAAGAAGAAAAGAGTGAGGAAGAGCTCGTCTGCCAGTTTCGCGCCGCCGCCCAGCTGGAATCACGGGGATTGGCTCCCCTCGGGAGTGACGGAGAAGGAAGTTCTCGACCTTGTCGCCAACGCCTCATTCCAAAGCGCAGATGGTGGCTCCTAAAGTATGGCGAATTTGAGTCCGCGCCCCACCCCAACAAACGGATACTCCTCCGTTCCCATATAGATAGAGGCTTTTCCATGCCCCCATCAATTTTTTCCTGGGATCTTGAACCATTTCGGAGCTCAACTCCACCATCTTCCTCCCAATGCCATGGTGTATCTATCTTTCGTACATTTCTCATTGTGAGAATTTCATCGGGTGTCAGCCACATTGGGGCCTTTTTAAGCACATCTTCTCTTGCCGCCCTCAAATCATCAAGAGTTCCTCTTCCAGAGTAGCAGTAAGACGAAGATTGTTCATTTGTGTGGTGGGCTAGGTGTTCAAGTCAAGAATGCCAGTACGTTCCCCACCACAATGTTCCCTAATACTATCATGTTTTGGCAAAGCACTTGGTTTTATTGCAAAGATATCCCTGCTGCCGATTCTTCACTCGGCTTCCCAGTCTATACGTCCGAGAGAGTTGAACCTCCCCCACCGAATTCCCTTAGGCCATGTTCGGTTAATCCCCTTGCCACAGGGATTGAAGAGGATTGGGGAGGTTTGAGAAGGATTTTGACTTGCAAGGGATTTAATCCCCTCCAATCCCTTTCAAACCTCTTCAAACCCTTCCAAACCGAACAAGGCCTTAGAATCTCCAATGCAGAGAAAACCTAGTAGAAAACCTGATGTCTGGCTGGTCAGGAGGAAGAGAGCCGTTCTGGAAAGAATCGATCTGTTGGAAGCTTTTATAAGTAGGCGCATCCTGGTTTTGTTGGTGTGCTTATCACCGCGAAGGGCGTGTGATTTGATGTCTCATGGCCACACCGCCACCGCGGCCTGAGCTCTACCTCTCGCACGTAGGCACATCGCCACTATTTCTTTTCCTAGGTGCCCACGGGGTGAGATGGAGGGGTCAGCAGGCGCCTTGCGGCTCCCGCATATTGACATGTCAATTGAGTTTTAGCCTAAAGAACTGCCGAACCTAGCTGCATAGTATGCATAGTAGTTAGAAAGAAAGAAAAGATTTAGTATTAAGAGGAGATGAGAAGTATGCCCAAAAGGATAAAAATAATTGATGGCAGTCTAATGTGCATTGCACGTGAATGCTTACTAGTGGATGCAAAAAGAGAAAGAAAATAAAAGGTAAGAAGAGATCTCCAACAAACAAACTATGCAAGATCATTTCTTTGGTGCCAAGGTGCGTGCCCGTGATTTGGTTGGATCTTGTATATGCTAAGATGGGATTTGTACATCTTGTATAGCAAGTTAAGTTACCGTTATAGCGTATCAAAACGGAGGAAAGAGAGTTGCCTCGTTTCGAGGTCAGAATGATGCTCGACGGCTCGTCAATTATGAAGAATAAAATCATTACTGATGATGAAAACTTAGAGCAAGAGATAAGTTAACGTTGCATCTGAATAGAAAACCACTCAAGCCAGCAGAACGAGATTTTATGATAAGTATATAAAATTGCGCATCATCATAAGATGAAACCACATATAAACTCAAGCCAGCAGCATGGCATTTTTCTTTTTCCGAACACACGTCCATTCATTCAAGGCTTTGATAAATATTTGGGTGAAGGCTACAACAATCAGTAGCCTCCTTACACAAGACCGCCACCAAACGGAAGTAATCAAAATCACCACACATGTTTGCTTTTTATTAAGACTGACACACGCACGAAGTAAACTTAACTCATCCCTAATAACATAAAAACAGAGCTAAACTCTCCTAAGATTCAACCCAGACGGACGGCGCAACACCGAGACGAGCTAGTTAGTGCCCTTGCTAATGAGCTCGAGGGCAGTGGCGGTGGTGGGCAGTGCCGGGATGGCTCCCTTCTTGGTGGTGCAGATTGCCCCGCAAGCGTTGGAGAACTGGAGCACCTCCCTCAGATTGGCCTCGTTCTGACCAATCAGAAAGAAAACAACATCATTAGCAACTACTCACAAGTCATAATGGAATTGAATTCATCAATCAGCTGATAATAACTTAGTTCCTGCTTACGTAGAAGATGGAGTCGTCCTTGGCGACGTTGAGGAGGAGGGATCCAACAAAGGCATCGCCGGCGCCGGTGGTGTCGACGGTGTTAACGGAGTACCCTCGCAGGGAGCCCTTGAAGTCCTTGGTGAAGTACCTGCATCCCTTCTCGCCGTCGGTGACGACGAGCAGCTTGAGGCCGTCGAACCAGAGCGTGAGGACGTTCTTCTCGTCATGGGCGTCGCCCTGGGTGAGGAAGGCCACCTCCTCGTCACTCACCTTGATGAAGTCGGCCTCCTTCCAGATGCTCATGATGCCGTCGCGTGCGGCCTGGGCAGAGGGCCAGAGCGGGAGGCGCACGTTGGGGTCGTAGGAGCAGAGGATGCCGGCAGACTTGGCGGCACGCATGGCGGCGACGTGGGCGGAGCGGCAGGGCTCGGTGATGAGTGAGATGGAGCCGTAGTGGAAGATGCGCGCGCGGCGGATGAGGTCTAGGTTGAGCTCGGCTTCGGTGAGGAGCATGTCGGCCGACGGGTTGCGGTAGAACATGAACTCGCGCTCTCCGTTTGACTTGAGGGTGACGAAGGACAGGGCGGTGCGCGCGTGCTGGTCGAAGAGGCAACCCTCAGCGTTCACGCCGTTCTGCTTGAGGATCTCCACCAGCATGTGGCCGAACTCGTCATCGCCAAACTGCAAAAGAAACCATCATCGTTCGATTAGAATTTCAGATGACAAACGGGGACGGGCGACGCCCACCTATGGCGGCGGCACCAGCCTTCTGGCATGATCAGATCCAGACGAGAGCACACCATCTCCGATCCTACCAAACACCAGATCAAATGCGCGGCCATATGGTGAAAGGATAGGAAGAATCATCGTATGTTACAAGGGACGGCGATTGATTCGTGCTTACCTTGCCTACGAAGGCGGAGGAGCCGCCGAGCTTGGAGATGGCACATGCGACATTGGCAGGCGCGCCTCCGGGTGCCTTGACGAAGCCTCCGGACTCGGCAAGCGAGACGCCGGCCACGTCCGGCACGAAGTCGATCAGCATCTCACCGAAGGAGACCACAAGGCTGGACGTCGTCGCGGCAGCCGCCGGAGCAACAGTATCACCGAGAGGCGCCATCGAAACAGGTGCGGAAGGAATAGATCAAACTCAGGAGGATAGGTGCTGTTGGGTGGATTGGAAGTTGGGAGTCGAGAGGAGGACGGGCTTATAAAGGGTTGCGAGCAGGGTTTTGGCTTGCCGTAGAGGCCGATTATTATCATCGTGCTAGTAGTTATCTTATCCTAGTCCGGTTACAATCCACTAGTAATCGGTTCCGTTTTGGATAACTCCTCTCTTGTTTTTCTTTTGCAAATAAGGTTTTGGACAATTATGGGTTCAAGAAGGATTTTGCTTGACTATATAATTATTACTACGTCCTTTAGACTGGCCGACCAATATGATATTACCTTGCTCATCTAACGATTGAATTCCATCTTTATGGAGTCCTCGGCGACTCTGTTGTTGAGCACAGCATTTTTATCTTCACATGTATCTTGCATTCTTGCAATTCGGCACGTGTTTTGAAGCTTACTTCCGTAGTTCATTTTCTAAGCCCCTGTTTGTTTAGGCTTTTGCTTTTGCTTTTGCAGCTTTTTCACTTTGGTCAAAAAGCCACAAAAGCTCCTAAATAGGTGCTTTTGGAGCTTTTATGGCTTTTGTAGCTAAATATTGTTATATTGGTTCATCAAAAGCCATAAATGCCCCAAAAACATCTATTTAGGAGCTTTTATGGCTTTTTGGCCAAAATGGAAAAGCTGCCAAAGCAGAAGCAGAAGCCCAAACAGGCAGGGCCTAAGAATGTAGCAACATTTTCTCATCGAAATATGTTGCAAACTTTCTTCTTCTCTATCGATAAACTTTCAATCTATTTATTTTCAATCATGGCAGCACAACGAACACAAGAAATAATAAAATTACATTCAGATTCGTAGACCACCTATCGACGACTACAAGCACTGAAGCAAGCCGAAGGCGCGCCACCGTTATCGCCTCTCCCTCGCCGGAGCCGGGCACAACTTGTTGCAGTAGATAGTCGGGAAGTCGTCATGCTAATGCCCCATAGGACCAACGCAGCAGAATAACCGCCGCTGATGAAGAGAAGTTTAGATTGGAATGATATAACCTGAAGACACATGAAGAAAGATGAACAAAGACCGGGTCCGAGCGGATCCACCCAAGACAACGACCGACCAAATCCCGCGAGATCCGCCAGAAACACACGTCCACACGTCTCCAGCGATGCTAGACACACCACCGAGACGGGGGCTAGGTGGGGAGAACCTTACTCCATCTTCAAGAAGCCGCCACCGTCTCTTCTTCCTGAGAAGGACACAAAGTCTAACAAAACTTGAAGAAGCACCTAAGAACGGAGCCCTCCCACCGGCAAGGGCTGGGATCCACCGCACACCCATGGACCTAAGGCCACAGGAGACATGGCAGATCGGCGACGCCGCCGACGGGAGGCAGAAACCCTGGCCGCCTTTTCTTGAATTGCAACTTTCTTTTTGGACAAGCTGAATCTAAAGTTTCATATCCCTAATTAGATTTGAATTTCAAGAGGATACGATAGTTGAAATATTTCCTCAAGAATTATAATACTGGTATGGGCTCCTCCCAAGGTCAAATTTTTCCCTTGGTTGGTCATCCAAGATAGAATTCAGACCCCTGGCGGATAGGCCAAGCATGGTTGTCCTAATTATGGTCTTTGCCCTCTATGCAAACAGGTGCATGAATCCAGCCCTAGCCTTTTTTACAAAATGCCGCTTCACCATTCGCCACTGGAATTTGGTGAATGATTGGCTACACTTGCTGAGCTTTGACATTTCTGACTGGTACCTTGAGAGATCCGTCAATGACTCGTGGGTCAAGCGGTCAAACAACAACACGCCCAACATGAAGGCCATGTCATCTCTTATCATGCTCATGAGTTGGACTATTTGTAACGAGCGGAACACCCGTGTCTTCCATCACAAAAGTGCACCGACGTTAGTCTTGCTCAACAACATCAAGACCGAGGCCAAGCTTTGGACTGCCACAGGTGCAAAAAAAAGGGAACCAGTGTAGCGGGAGAGTGATTCACTTTGTACCCGGGTCCTGTAACGCATTACTCTATTCTCTTATTAAATAATAGACGAGGCAAATCTTTTGTCTCTGTTTCAAAAATAAAATAAAATAAAATAAATACTAGTCTTTATGTAACCGTAAAGTGATATGTCGTGGCCAACACACTATTGGTAGACATATTGTTTCGATAAGAATAACCACTACATTGCGAGTATCACTACAAGGAGAAAGCTTATAGAAAGAAATTTAGTAGTAGCGCAGGTTACTTGGCCACCGCTACTGCTACATAGTCGTAGCGCTGGGTGCCAACAAGCGCTATAGATACCAAAGTAGCAGTAATGCTAGTTTCCCTTGGCAGCGCTATTGTGAAGTTGCCCCATCACCACCGGCAGGGGATACGCGTAGTAGTAGCGGTTGGCAAGAACCAGCGCTACTACTAGAGACATAGCAGTAGCGCTGGTGGGCTGCCCACCGCTACCGCTAAGTCTGCACGGTGCCAGCAGGTGGGCCTATCTTAGCAATAGCCCTGGGCCACCAGCCAGCGCTACTGCTATTGCTACCTTATCCTCCTCGGCCGTCCTAATCACTCCCTTCCCACAATCTCATCGTCTAACCCCCACTCCTGCCATCGCCCGCTGCTGTCGTTGCCCGATATGTCTTCCTCCCACTCTCTCCTTCCATCCCTTCCTTCTCCCTCCCTTCCTTCGACCCTGCCTCTCCCTCCATCCCTCCCATCTCCCTCCCTGCCCCCTCGATCGACCCTCTCCCTCCATCCCTCTCTCCCTCCCAGCCCTCTCCCTCTGACCCTCTGCCTCCCTTTGATCCCTCGTGCATTGCATAGATAGATGGATAGATAGATGAATAGATAGATGGTTAGAACTATGGTATTTTTGATATATCGCATAGATAGATGGATAGATAGATGAATAGATAGATGGTTAGAACTATGGTATTTTTGATATATTGCATACATAGACAAATGGATGGATGGATATATATATATATATATATATATATATATATATATATATATATATATATATATATATATATATATATATTGATGGATGGATGGATGGATGGATGTTAGGGCTAGACCTAGGGTATTTTTAGTAAATGCATAGGTCTTTTCAATTAGGGTTAGAACTAGGTTTTACAAAAAATTTGGGTTAGAACTAGGTTTAGACAAATGGATGGATAGATGGGCAGTACAAATTCTTAGGGTTAGAACTAGGTTTTTCAAAAATTTAGTAGATGTAGGTCTTTTGAATCAGCATAATAAGGTTTAGTCGATAACTTATAGGGTTTCACTAAGTCCTAAGATGAGGATAATAATGTTTTTGTTTATATTTTATTTTTGCAGAAAACAAGGAACCCCTACATTATCCCCCTCATCGTCCCCGTCACAGACCCCTCCGACCTCGAGGTGAGACCAGCCAAGCTTGCCCAAGTGGCCTATGTTTGCAGGGAACACCTCACAGTGGCGTATGTTTTGCCGGAGTGTTGATTAATTTCCATTCCGGCAAATTTCAGGCGCTCGATATATGTCCTTTTTAGCAAATTTCAGGCGCTCGATATATGCCAGATTTTTCCATAAATTTTGGCATGACTTGTGCTAGAACATGTAGGAAATATCGAGTGGCCTGGATTTCCTAAAAAGATAATTAAATGATATTTCGGGTTGACTTTAAGTCTGTACCATATATGAGGGAAGAAGAATGCCGACTGTTGTCGTGGGGGTCGTTCTTCCTCTTCTTTCTCGTGATAGACCTTTTGGTATGCACGGTAAGGAAGAGAAGAACGACCATCACCGACGGTCGCAAATGTCAGAGAGGAATCAGTGAGGGAGAGTCTCCACCATATATCAGAAGACGAAGAATCCCGACTGTTGTCGTGTGGGTCGCTTCTCCTTCATTTCCATGTGCTGGACAATTTTGGTGTAATTGCACTCGGGGATGAAGGAAGGAGCGACCATCACCGACGGTCGAATATATACACCACGTGAGCTGAGAGTTTTTGAGAAAAGACTCGACATACCGATAGTCAACCTGTGATGAATAATAATAATCTAATTTAGTTTTTTAGTACATATATTAAATTTTAGAAGTTTAACCTTTTAAGTAGGAACATAGGAAATGTCTGACGATGACGATAGGATCCCGGAGTGCGACTACTGCGGCGACGACCGGGGTCTGTGCGACAGGCCTCACCTGGTAGACGGTCGGCGCTTCAGTATTAAGCTCGATGAGACCTTCGAT